CAATGTTTCTCCTACAGCACAGCGTTCATTACAGGTTTAGTGAAAAAGGTAATAGAAACTATCAACTTCAATATGATTTGCTGATGGCACTGATGCTATCCTCTCAGGTAAGTGTAAGTGAGAAGTCTCTGATCTAGATCAATTTCTATTTTCATAGACTCATACAATAGCCAGGCATGATAAACCCTGATGGGAACATAACTGACATATTCCCATTCTGAAGCATGCCAGAAATCCTCTGCTAAAGGACCTCAGGATAAAATAAATTACTACTTAATGACAATAATTCTTTATGAAGAGAAGTTGGTATTTTAGGTGGATTTTTAAAATAAACATATTGAAGTAATTCACTATGTGGTAAAACTTGCAAAATGGACACAAATAAAAGCTAGTTTGCCATACTATTTTGAAAAAGGTGTTAGTGACAAACAGCTTAGCTCAGAATTTCTTTATAGTTTATGGCCACACAAAAGTTAGACATTCTGTAATGACATAAACCGCGTAAGGCATCATGGTGTAATATTCACCCTTACAGACATCGGAAATCTGAGCAGCATGGACCGAATACACTAAGAAAACTTGCTAGAGACATGCATCATAAATTTTCAGACTTGTTTTCAGAACTGATACACATTTCCTTTGTGTCTGATTGCATACAGGCTGATAGAACAAAATACCATAGATCGGGTGGCTTAAAAACAGAGTTTTCTTTCTGACAATTTTGGAAGCTGAGAAATCCTAAATCAAGGTCCTGGCCAGTTTGGTTCCATTCACTGGTGAGGGCCCCTTCCTGGCTTGCAGATGGCCACCTGTGTCCTCACCTGGCAGAGAGAATTTTGATCTCTTACTTTTCTTATAAGGACACAGATCCCATCATGGTGCCCCTGTCCTTATAATCTCACCTGAACCTAATTACCCTCCATAGGCTCCACCTCCAAACACCATCACACTGGGAGACAGGTTTCAATAATTAAATTTTTCGAGGACACACACATTCAGTCCATAATACTCAGTATTCTACAAATCAAAAACATCAATATCTTAGCAATTGCCACTCTTTAGGAAATTAAAAATCAACAGGGGTATAAACAACAACCCCAAAACACTTTGATAAATTCAGCAAGACACTTTTATCAGTTTCGATTTCTGCTTGGCAATCCAAATTATTTTAGCTTTTTAACTGTTTCAGAATTTGCCACAAGAGTAAAAGGAAATGTTCTCTGAATATAGAGGAAAAAAAAATCCCAGTTGTCATATTAGAATATAAAAAGATAAACATTTTAGGTTCAGTTTCATAGTGTTGGTCAAGACATGGCACAAGTCGACATGACTTAAAGCAACACTTTTGTCTTCATGACTTTCATATTGTGGCTCAAGTTATTTAGATAAAACTAAGCCATGCAGATGAACTGTGGACCCATCTTGGAGAAATAAGATCCATAAGGACCCAGTAAAGATCAGACAAATCCTGTATTTCAGGGATCTATGTCTCTCCCCCTACTGTTACCTCTCTACCTACCCTCCCTTCAGTCTTCCTCTGGCAGACAATGTAGTTCTAATAACCTGAAAGGATTAACTTGAGCAAATAGGCGTTTTATCTTTATGTAATAAGCACCAGCTACACAATCTTTATGTACACACAAACACATGCACATATGCATACGAAACACACTCACCATACATACCCAGAAACACCTATTTGAAGAATGATCACTAACATTTACATTTACTGCCATGGATATAATATCGTAATAAGCTTTTTACATAAATTTCATTTAAAAGCTCAAAAACTATAACTATGTGGTAGATAAAATGAGTCTATTTACAGATGGCAAAACTGAAGCAGAGAGGTTAACTAAGTGGTTAAAGGTGGAAAGATGAAAACTCCGGATAGTGTACTGAAGCCAGCATTGGGATTCAGCAGCTCTAGCTGAACGGATTGAGAGCAACAGGATAAAGGATCCAGCCTTCTCCTTGTTTGACCCTTACCTCCAGCCTAAGTGCTTGCCAAAGGCAAACATATAAATGAAACAAAACCTTTGTCAGGTAATTTTTAGGGTATTTTAAAATTCGACAATATAATCCCACCAGTCGAAAAGATATCAGAACAGAATGCTTATCTGTGACTTTCACCTTACCTTCTAAAGCATATAAATTAGTTCTTTTCTGCTCATTAAAATTGTGCTAAAAATACATACTAATTTCCATAACATTGTATAGGTTTCTATGGGACTCATGCCCTGTTATTAAGTGAGTGACTCAAAAATGCTTATTGATTGAGTGAATAAATGAATAGAATAGCGTGTGTTTTTTCACTTCAGAAATTCCTCTTTTCTAGATTTTCTAGGAAGATACTGTTACTTCATTTCCAATGAAAGAGCAGCAAAAGTAAAAGGCATTGATGTTGATGGAATCCACTAAAAAGAACTAGCATAAATCTTTAGTAGCTTTTCATTTCAAAAGCAGAAAATATGTAAATCTTGGGGAGGGGGCGGAGAATGAAACGTTCATTCTTTACTAAATGGACCTGGCATTCAGTGCTGGGAAATGGAGTAACATGTTATATACATATTTATAAAATGCCAAGAATAACCTAAGTACCTAAGTACTTAAAAGGCTTTTTTATCATAAAACAAAATAAGGGGAAAAGAAAGCACCTCATTCCCACAGCCACCTCCCGCCACCCCCCCTGCAAAATCCAGGTCACACTGGAGCGATATCCCTGAGATTCTGCTGTATTTTTTGAAGCCTGGCTGACGGTGCAGAGAGCAGCCGCTGCAGGAGCTCCATACTGTCAAATGGCAAGACACATCAAAATTCCTGAGGCAGAGAGTTCCGCAGCCTTGTAACTTGATGTGAGAAACGTCTGCTTTCAGCCCTTACCAAGGAGGTTTAAGAGGGGGATTCAAATCTGACATAGCTCCTTCTCTAATTTACAAACTGCTAGCGCATCGGTGCAAAGCCTTGGGGATCGGCACCAAGACATATAAATCCAAGGGCTCACCTGGCTCTCAGCTTCCCTGGGATGTGAACATGCCCACTGAAAAGTGAATACTGATCACCTTCTACATAAACCTTTCTATCATGGATATCTATCCTGTTTACTTCTGCAGTCTGTATTTATTTTTAGAATGTGCAGACTTTTTCCCCCCCGCCACAAAGTAGCCAAGGAGTTATAGTTAATAGGAATCTATAGTTAATAGACTAAAGAGAGACTAAACAATCTACACATATCAATCTACACTTATCAACTAAATGAAACATACATGATCTTAATGGTTTTACTAGTCCTTTTTATTGCTATTGTATCTGTGGAGGTGTGGAGCTTATAAAGTCAATAGGGTATTTACACTGGTCTTTGAAGATTTTCAGAGCTCAAGGTATCTAGCAATTTGCAAATTGAATTAATGCTATGAGTGTCCCAAATATATTTTATTCATTTTCAAGAACGGATAGAAATAACCTGCTAATTCTAGCATCTCTGTGGGTCTAGTTCAGGGGTGGGCAAATTTTTTGACTCGAGGGCCACAATGGGTTCTTAAACTGGACCGGAGGGCCGGAACAAAAGCATGGATGGAGTGTTTGTGTGAACTAATATAAATTCAAAGTAAACATCATTACATAAAAGGGTACGGTCTTTTTTTTTTTTTTTAGTTTTATTCATTTCAAACGGGCCAGATCCGGCCCGCAGGCCGTAGTTTGCCCACGGCTGGCTAGTTCCTGTTGTGGCATTTAAGGTCTCAAAAGACATCTCTGTCTTTCGATGAAGTTGCCCAAGTTGGTTCCCTTTGACTCTAGAGAGGGGCTCCTCTCTGACTCTACATCTGCTCCTGGCCAGGGAAAAGCCTTTGGTTTTGTATCAAAGTGTGTCCTGATGCCATCTTCTTACTTCTCCCAGGACACACTGCCTGGTTTCCATTTCCAGTCCCCTTGTACCCAGGCCCAAGGTCTTGTGTCTCCTGAGTCTGATTTCTGCCCCTTCCTACTCTGCGGGACTTAGCTCTCCTACCTGGACTTAGAATACTTGCATTCCCTTGCCAATATGAACTTTGTGTTGTTGCTTTTTAGATTTTTAACATCAGATTCCCTGATCTAACTGAATTCTGCTCCTGGCATTTCCTGGTTGCTCCATCTTGTTTTACTCCTTCTCCCCAACCCAAGCCTGAAATCGATACTTGATGTTTAACTCCACCAACATATCCAAACCCAGTTCGAGTTTTGATGAGGGAATGCCCTCCTACCCCAACAGAGAAAAGTATTTTATTAGCACCATTTTTCAGAGCCGCCTGGGAAAGATGATTAAAAAAAGATTCATTATGTTAAACTTATATGCCTACTGCCTGCACTCTAGATCGTAGATCCCTCTGCCCCATTCTTGATATGCTATGTCTCTGTGAGGAGAAATAGGGAGAAGATGCTGACTGGTTGCTGACACACAGGGAGGATGGCAGGTGGGAGAATGCCCAACTTTTAAGGTGCAGCTTCTCGAAACTCTGAACTACTTGCTACTGGAAAGGGGGGGAATGGCTTTGGTTAAGGTGTTCTTAGAGCTTTTCTTATCACTCGACAATATAACTGTAGTTATTGATCATGTAACTTAGTCCTGAAACAGGCTCTATTTTTTGCTTTTAGTATTTCATCTTTGTCTAGACCACAGCCTAGACTTGTGGAAATATTGTAGGCTAGAATAAGACAAGCCTCAGTTCAAATTCTGATCAAAAACATATCCTATATAATAAAGAGGTAATATGCAAATTAACCCTCACGGCCTCACAAGATGACCAGGCTAGCAGGGGGGTTCGTGAGGGACCACCAGACGACCGAACAAGCAGGCAGCATGGGGCGACCACAGATGTCTGTACACAGATGTCTAAATAAGAGGTATCAATAATTTATTATCCAGTTTAAGTACAAAAAAGAAAAGTAGGTCCCTACAATTTAATTAAGATCACAATGTCTTATTAAAAAGAATTTACATATAAATAATTAAACCCCTTTACCTTATAAATATCCAAAAATCCACACTGGTGGTCGAATCTGGTGTAGAGCTCATTCAGCATGCTGATCACTTGCATGGGGGTGCACTGTGCGCAGATGGCCGTGAAGCCAACTATGTCCGAAAAGAGCATGGTGACATCGTCAAACTTTCTGGCCTGCACTTGCTGCCCTTGCCACAGTTGCTGGGCTACATCACCGGGAAAAATAGAGTATAGAAGATCCACTGTTTTCTTCTTCTCTTCTTCCAGGGCCTGGTGAGTTCTTTCTAAAGTTGCCTTTAATTTATCCATCCTCTTCTTCAAGCCATCTTGGGCCTTAGCCTGCTCGCCAACCAAAATGACATCTCGGGTGGCATCATGGATGGGGATGTCTGAGAGATGCAGTCCCCGGCCCATGAGTTCATCCAACTTGTCCACACATGGAGAGCCCAAAAATAAAATGGAATTTGATTCTGGGACGTGGATCATTTGTCCTTTGACTTCCATCACCTGCAAAATTAACATGGAATTTTAATCAGTGTTTTTCACATAGTAGATTCACAAAAATGCAATTATTACCTGAAGAGGAAAAGCAAGAAATGCTTTATTAGCCTTACTGACTTTCTACATTCCTTCAAGCAAATTTATTTAATATTTACAGCCAGTGTAAAATTTATGGTTCTGAATCAAAACATTTGTTATTGTTTTCGACTTGGCCACGTTCTAAAGACAATGATAAAATGAAGTCTGAGATCAAGGAGAAATAAATAGGAAAACATTGTCATTCAAAATTAAATTAAACCCAGGTACATAATGAAACTGGTTCATGAGCCAGTTCAGAAACTTTCAATCTTCTTAATAATAACAAAATCAGTACACTTAATTGTTATTAAAATAACACTCAGAGAATAAGTCCAAGAGATGAAAATAAATCAAAATAATTGTTTGGCCTTGTATAAGTCATGTTTCCACCAGCGACAGTCCTTTGACTATATAGCAGTCTTTGCACTGACTATATTAATGGACAATTCACTTGGCCGTAAAAATAAAAATTTAAACTAGATATAACTAAGCTAACATTATTGGAAAGTAACTGTCAGATATTAATTCAACCAGCATGTTCAATATAAACTAAAAATAAACCTCCTAAACCAAGATAGCACTAAAGAAATTCATTTAATATAAAGTATCTGAAGATCTAGTAATTTAAATCTATTCCTTCTTCCTGTGCTTTTTGATGAATTTGGGGAGTTGATGCTTAATGGAAAACTTAATGAACACCAGCTTATGCCATCTTAGCTTGGTGCCCACTCAGAGGGGATAAGCACCATAGGAAAGGAGTATGGACTTACAATCTAGCCGTCTACATAAGTTGCTGGGGTTAAAATAAGGTATCTCAGAGCACCTGGACAGGAAGGTGATTGCAGTTACCTGAAAGAACAGCCTGAGTTGACCAACCAAGATTGTACATCAGTTTCACCCACGTTGCTTTCCACTGCCACGAATATACTCAATGAATGTATTTGTCTTTATTTTTCACAGCATAAAGTACTTAGGCTACTTGATGAAACAAGAGGCAAAGAATAAATATGGTGTAAAACTATAGAGATCTGGGTTCCAAAGTCTGCAACTATGATTTTCTTTGTCCCCCCTGCACCCATCACCAAGATCTAATCTCCATAAGGAAATAAAGTTGAATTCTTGCTTGATGTTATACTTTCTATGGGATCAAATGTTCACTTTATCTTACGCATTTCTTCTAGTGTTTGGTGTTTCATTATTTTATACATAATACTCCCAGTTATTCATTGAAGTATTTGTTGTTCTCTATTTACTAGTACACCTCTGGATGATAAGCATAAAAAGATAAAATAAAGTTCTATTTTCAAAGATATCGAAGTATGGGGGTGGGGAAGGAGCCAAATCTATACAGCACAGAGAATAGTATAAACAGGACCCTTTCAATTCAAGGCAAACTTTCAAAAGACTGCATGCACACTACGATTTGAATACAAAGAAAATAATTGTTCTGAAAAAATTTCCAGATTGTTTTACATATGCCTGATTTGCTTTTGGAGGGAAGAGGTGCTATTAATTACATACAATTTTCCATTGTTGGAATATTAAAGGCATAATAAGAAAGATATACATAATATACAACTTCATAGTAAAAATTTGTATATTAATATTTTCTTAAAATTAAGGTAAAAGCAAACCTCTGATGTTCAAAGATTTAGACTTCTACTGGGGTCTGTTTCCCCTTCCTTCCTCATATTTTCTTCTAATCACTTTTTTTTTTCTTCTCCTTTTTGCTTTCTCCTTCCTTCTCCCCTTTGTTCTTTGGCCTTACACTTTTTTCAGCATTCTCGCTTCATTTAGTCTCTCTCATCACTTGTTTTCCTCATTAGTTCTTCCTTTTTCTTTTCCTTCACTTTTTTTCCTCTGTATCAACTTCCACATTTCCCATCACAAATGGTCCTTTCTGCTTTTTTGTTATTCAGTATGGAATTAGCATATGAGTATATGCATAAATGATATTAGATGGCATTTTCTATATGTAATAAATAAGTGTTATCTCAGGGAGCTTGATCTGCCCCGTGAAGCAGCATTAACAAGGACCAGTGGGAGCCCAAGAAGCATGAAATAAACCAAGCAGATGAAAACAGTACCATATATGTTCTGAAAATTACACTGTCATTGCAACTACAGCCTACAAAAGTAGGACAGGACCTGTGTGCCGAACCTAAACAGTGTGGTTGTCTGTTAAAATAAAAAATTTAAATAGGATCTAGAGTCTTCTAACATAATAGCCAAACTGTCCAGGATATAATAGAAAACGAAACACCAAAATAAGACTCAGGAAAATCATACCTTCAACAAGAAAAGGCAATCAATTGATGCCAATACTGAAATGAATCTAGTATTGAAATTATGTGTCAAGAATTTTAAAGAAGCTATCATAAAACGTTTTGACAAGTAATTACAAATTCTTTTGAAAATAGTGAAAAATGAGAAAATCAGAAAGGAATAGGAGATATCAAAATAACCAAATTGAACTTATAAAACTGAAAAATACAACTACAATAGAAAACTTACTGGGTAGTCTCAAAAATAGAGATGACACAGTGAATTTGAGGATAGTTCAATACAATTTACTCAATCTGAATGGACAGACAATAAAGTGCAGAGCAATAACAAAAAGAAATACCATTTATATCATAGAAGTCTCAGAAGGAGAGAAGTAAGAGTAGGATTGAAAAAGCATTTGAAGAAATAATGGTTGCAAATGGCTCAAATTTTATGAAAGATATAAACACACAGATTCAACAAGTTATGTGAACCTCAAATAGGGTAAACTCAAAGAAATTCACTTCAGGCCACAAAATAATTAAACTTCTAAAATCTAAATTCAAAGAAAGTATTTTCAAGGCAGCCAGAAAGAAATGGCATATTACTTACTAGAGGCCCAGTGAATGACATTCATGCACTGGGGGGTGCGAGGGTCCCTCAACCTGGCCTGCACCCTCTCACAGCCTGGCAGGCGGACATCCCCCAAGGGGTCCTTAGTGCTGCCATGGAGGTGAGAGAGGCTCCTGCCATGGCCACTGCTGCGCTCACCAGCTATGAGCCCAGCTTCTGGCTGAGCAATGCTCCTCCTGAGGGAGCGCAGTAACCACCAGGGGGCAGCTCCTGCATTGAGCATCTGCCCCCTGGTGGTCAGTGCACGTCACAGCAACCGGTCATTCCACCAATCAATCGATTTACATATTAGCCTTTTATTATATAGGATAGGGAGCATTCATTTGAATAACAGTAGATTTCTCATCTGAAACTGTGGAGGACAGAAGAATGCTGAAGAAGGATCTTTAAACAGAAAATTAGGAAAAGGAACTTAGAACATCAGGGAGGAAAAAAGAACAGAAATACTAGAAATACAGGTAAACATAATAGATTGTCCTCTTCATGAGGTGTCTAAATCATATGTGGTGATTGAAACAAAAATTATAACACCATCTGATCCTCACCATAAATGTTCTTATAAAAAAGAAGCAGAAAGAAAACACACACACAAGAGTAGAGGATGTGGAGACAGAGACATTGATTGGTTGGATTGATGTAACAATGGCATGCCAGAAGACACCAGAAGCTAGAAAGCCAAGGAAAGGATGCTTCCCCAAATTCTCCAGAGAGACTAAGGCCCTATCCACACTTTGATTTCAGATATTAACCTACAGAAGTGTGAAAGAATGCATTCCTTCTTATTTTACACTACAAACTTTGTGTTAATTTTAACAGCAGCCACAGGAAACTAATACAGATTGGAACAATAAAATAAACCAATAGGATCTAATTGACCTATATAAGATGATCCACCCTAAAGTAGCAGAATATGCATTTTTTCGAGAGACTATGAAAAAATTGGTTCTTTTATCTTAGTATACATTATCCTGGGCCACATTAAAAAACAAACATCAAAACAAATTTAAAAAAACTATGCAGAATATATTCTCTGACTACATGGAATAAAACTAGAAATCAATAACCATAGGACATATTCATAATAGTAAAAATAAGAAACAATCAAGATGTGGCTTAAAGGGTGAATGGTTAAGCCAAATGTAGAGAACTACTTAGCAAAAGGAAGAAATATTCTATTGATATAGGCACAATTTTACCTGTACTTGTAGGGAATTATGCTGAGTGGAAAAATTGCTCAATAGAAAGGTTTATTTTCCTTGCTTGCTTATTTATTTTTATCATGCAATTATTTGTTTTTATTCTTATAATTATCCAAAACAATAAGGTATTTTAAAACAAAACCAATATTCTCCCAGAGGGCTATTAATATTTTACAATTTCAACCTATATCTACATTTATAATAGCCACAGTTTTTTTAATCTGCAAAAATATTTTTACTGTCTCCAGCAAAAATCCTTCATTAAATATTCTTATTTAAAGAGGCAATGCAAAATGCTTCACTCAAGTACACTAAATATAATTTAAAAGAAAATTAAAGCATTCATTCATTTATTCATCTGTTTTATAAACATTTGCTTAGGATATACAACCTGCCAGTACTACGTTAAGCACTTTAAATGTACAGGAATTTAAACAGATCTGCTGCTTTTTTACTGAATTGAAAAGTAAATTCAATAGTAAAGTGCATATGTAGCTGGAGGGACATTAACATCTGAGGCTAATTGTACTACCATGTATTCTATGGATTGCCACATTGCCTTTGTCGCGGCAAGATACATTAAAATTCACAATGTTTATGGCTAACATCAGCTAAAAGCTCCAAAACATAACACTTCAGAGGTTTTATCTTTCCGTGCCTGCTTTATTTGCCCCTGTGTTTGTACTTAGTTTTGTTATCGGTGGAAGTGGAGTTCTTGGGGTGCCACAAGGAAATAAATTTCCTGGGGCCCCCATGGGAGGATGGGATTTCATGGAAAGCTTTATTGATGGTGTAAAATTAAGGGGGTTCCTCTCCAAGGTCCCATTTCTG